GCACTCCGCCCCCTTGCAGGTAACGGAGTCTGGTCCGCAACTCCGAGATGGTCATACCCCCGCAATGGGAGCATGAGTCATCCACGAAAGCCACCTCAGCGTGCTTCATGCCCAGGCACGAGAGGCAGCGATCGTGACCATCACCCGGCGCCAGGTAACAACCGCACCCAGAAAAACACGGATGGTATGACATCTTCAAAAAGACGCGTCTTTAAAAAGACGTTCCACCCCTGAAACTCTTTTAGAATGGAAATTGCTCTTTTAGTGTGCTGAAGCGCACAGGGGAGATGGCTGTCTGCAACACACACAGGGGTAGTGCAGCCTGTTGTGTGCAACCCACTCGACACGGGAAAACCACCGCCGCTGAAACGCTGTCCACCAGCACGAGAGCCCAGGACGAGAGCCCACCGAAGAGCGTGCTTGACTGTAGTTTTTCTCACTACTGTAGGAAGGTCAGGAGCAGAACGATAGAACCGCTCGGCTCCGAAGCGAAAAGCTGAATATGCGCTGCATCTGCTGCCTACTTATACTCACGCTGTGATCAGCAGCAGCTGGATGCAATAACCGCATGCCAATGTGCATTGGCTCGTTTAGTTTACACTCAAAGTAGATTGGTCCCTCTAAGCGAGATCCCAATTCGTCGGTCATCCGACGTGACGTCGAGAGTGACCGACTAAAAGGGAACCATAATGTGCTGTTAAAGGTTCAGTTCACCCAATGTTTTTTTAATTATTCTATTGTCATTCCTTGTCAAACCTATTTGAATACTTTTTTTTCTGGGGAACACAAAATATTTTGTTTTCGAAGAAGATTCATGTTTTTCTTTCCTACAAACTGAAAGTGAATAGGGACAGATGGAAAAAATGAAATCAAAATAATCAACTGTACATGTCCCTACAGTTTCACTGTGTGCAAAGTTTTGTGTTCCAAGGAAGAATCTGTTCATGCTGCTTTGCAATTACAGTACATACATGATGACAGAATGTTAATTTTTGGGTGGACTGGTCCTTTTAAGATAATGACGTCAAACCTAGTTCACTAAAATCAATCAAATGTTTCAAATGTTGTGCTCTTTTGTCAGGCAAAGTGGCTGGAGACATTTTCCAGGACAATGCCATCCTATCCAACCCCGTAGCAGGACTCATGGTGGGGATTCTGGTCACGGTTCTGGTCCAGAGCTCCAGTACTTCCACATCCATTATAGTCAGCTTGGTCTCATCTGGACGTAAGAAACACAACTAATTTTTAGTACAGTCAGATTTCTAGACGAAACCAATAACCTCAGATGAATGTCTTTTCATTATGGCTGTCAACTGATTACATTTAATTAATTGAAGTGCACTATAACCTTTTTCAAAGAAATTATAACTGTTATTCATCAAGGATGCATCAAATTATTCAAAAGTTACAGTGAAGACATTAATAATGCTAAAAAGGTTTCTATTTTAAATAAACGCTGATCTTTTGGACTTTCTATTCATCAAAGAATCCTGAAAAAATGTATTACAACTTCTACAAAAACATTATTTAGCACAACTGTTTTCAACATTATTAATAAGAAGTGTTTATTGAGCTGCAAATCAGCATATTAGTATGATTTCTGAAGGATCATGTGACACTAAAGACTGGAGTAATAATACTGAAAATTCATATATACATTATATGCTCATGTATGTATATATATATATATATGTATGCATGTATATATGTATATATATATATATATATATATATATATATATTTTTTTTTTACACAAATGAAAATATATATACTTTTCAATTTTGCAGTGAAACAACCCCAAATTCATATATATATATATATATATATATATTTTTTTTTTTTACACAAATGAAAATATATATACTTTTCAATTTTGCAGTGAAACAACCCCAAATTAATATAATTTAAAGGCAAAGACTTTAAATACACAATGTGCCTTCAGAAGTCAATATATTGTTTGTTTTTACTTGCCTACAGTCAGTCTTTCTAAGTTAGATATTGTTTTATGTACTTGTGCAGACAGATGTAAAATAAGGACTTGTGTTTAAAGGCAATTAAACTATCTTGGCACCTTGCCTTTGAAGCCAGCTTTATTTTAAAAGCCTTTTGACATTAGCTTCGCTTTTAATCTGATCCAAAACTTCATGACATCCAAAGTTCCTTTTAAGTTGTCTGTTAACAAAACAGAGATCATCTGTAAAATGGGAAGTCGTGGCCTAATGGTTAGAGAGTTGGACTCGTAACCCAAAGGTTGTGGGTTCGAGTCTTGTACCGGCAGGGATTGTAGATGGGGGGCGTGAATGTACAGCGCTCTCTCCTACCTTCAATACCACGACTGAGGTGCCCTTGAGCAAGGCACCGAACCCCCAACTGCTCCCTGGACACAAAAATGGCTGCCCACTGCTCCGGGTGTGTGTGTGTGTGTGTTAACTGCAGTGTGTGTGTGCACTTTGGATGGGTTAAATGCAGAGCACTTATTCAGAGTATGGGTCACCATACTTGGCCACATGTCACGTCACTTTTGCTTTTTCACTTAAAACTGTTGTGACTTCAGATACTTTTTTGCAAAACTTGGCCCTGGATGATGCAACCGTGTCTTTTTTATTCCACATTATTTCCAGAAAGCCTTATCTCTCGACGTTGTTCCTGCTTTAATCAAGTGACATCTCTCGCGGATGAGCTAATTAGCTTGTGCATATGCAGCGGTGGCCTCAAAGTCTGAGAAGCTTGTGAAGTGTGACTGTCAGAGCTTATTCCAAATAAACATCAGAGTTCAGATGCAATCACAACAGATGCGGCAATTTAATGAGGGAGTTTTGTTTGGGTTAATGAGCTTATGTTTGACACAATAAAGGGTTTTAATATATAGATGCTACCGTGGGGTCCAAAAGTCTGAGACCACAAGCAAAAAAATCACATGACATTCGCTTTGTGAATTTTCAGTGCAACTTTTGCTCAAATTGTTGTGCTGACAATATAATTCATGATAAAATAAATGCGCTAGGAATAGTTCTCACTATTTTTTTTTAATTTACTCACTCTCAGGCCATCCAAGATGTATCTTAATGGGAACAGATTTGGAGAAATTTAGCATTACATCACCTGCTCACCAATGGATCTGAATGGGTGCCGTCAGAATGAGATTCCAAACAGCTGATAAAAACATCACAAAGTAATCCACACGACTCCAGTCCATCAATTAATGTCTTGTGAAGTGAAAATCTGCACGTTTGTAAGAAACAAATCCATCAATTTGACGTTTTTAACTTCAAATCATTGCTTTTGGCTAAAATGTGGAATCCATAATCCACAATTTTGATTTCTATTAAAAAAGTCTTCTTGTTTGACTCAGGAGATAAATATGCACAGATCAAGCACTGTTTACAATCAAAAACGAAGTTTTTCACTGCAGGAAGCGTTATTATAGATTATGAAATAATATTTTTAGTAGAAGCAATGGTTTAAAGACTAAACATCTTAATAATGGATTTGTTTCTTACAAACACACAGCTTTTCACTTCATAAAACATTAATTGATGGACTGGAGTCATGTGGATTGCTTGTGGATTATTATGATTTTTTTTTTTATCAAGCGTTTGGACTCTCATTCTGACGGCACCCATTCACTGCAGAGGATCCATTGCTGAGCAAGTGATGTAATGCTAAAATTCTTCAAATCTGTTCCAATGAAGAAACAAACTCATCTGCAGCTTGGATGGCCTACAAAAAAGTAAGTACAAAAATGAAAAATAGATGCATTTTCACTAGTGGCCTTGACCTTTGAACCCCACCGTATGAGTGTGAATGTAGTAAATAGAGCACAGGTATGTGTAGTTGAATCTGTTAGAGCAGGTGAGTTTCTGAGCCCACAGCAATCACAACTTGATCTTTTGAAATGGTTTGAAGAGGTCAACCTTGAGTGACAAAGCTCTTTGAATGGGACTCGGCTTTTCTCTGAGTAAATGAATTGAAGCTGATGGATGTCAGGAGTGGGTATGTGTCCATTCACACAATGCTCAGTGAGCCTTCAGCTAAAACACGAGCCATGTTTCACTCCAGCTGCAAACCCCAGCAGCGTAAGGGGCAGTAATTACTGATACTAAACTACCCATTCATAGTATCTGAATGGAAATCTGACTTGACTCTAATGCTCGCCTGATTTAAGAGTCAGTGGAAGCAAATGAAAAAGAAATGACGAGGTACAGTATCTGCCGTCAGTGAACAGAAGAGATGGACAATATTTAGTGGTATTTGCTAAAGCATGCCTCACTACTGCTATTGCTCATGCTTTATGATCTATGTGATTTATGTGTGTGTGTAGTGCTTGAAGTGAAATCTGCCGTCCCCATCATCATGGGCTCCAACATCGGCACGTCTGTCACCAACACCATCGTTGCCCTGATGCAAGCAGGAGAGAGGAACGAGTTTAAACGGTACCTAATGATTTTCACCATCGCCGTTATCATCACTATTTAATCAAACCTTGCTGTTCACTTAAAGTATCCATGAGTTCATTTCAAAATGCATTCTTGATTTTGGCAGAATTGATTTCTTTAAGTGAACATGAAATCAAAATTGTCCCCATTTACATTGTTAATGCATGTTCTAGGTCTTACTGTGAATAATTTATCAGTGCATGTTATTCCTAAGAAAACAAATTGTCTTGCTAATCTGTTATCAAAATGCAATACCTTTCATTGAAATGACTTCGTCACCTAGCAAAATTACTTAAGGTATTAGATCTTGTTTTCTGAGAAAAAAACAAGATTAAAATTAAGTCATTTTATACTTAGAACAAGAAAAATCCATTGGGGTAAGAAAAGTAAACTTAATTCAAAGGAAAATTTGTTTTATTTTTCTGACTCCATTGGCAGATGTTTGGTCTCGTTTTAAGAATAAAGTCATTAATTACAAGTTTTTCTGAAAACTAGTCTTTATGTATTGTGTAATTTTGCTTCTAAGTAAATGCATCTTGATTTAATATTTTCTATTTACTTATTTTTATTTAATTATTTTTAATTTCTTTATTCAATTTTCTATTTATTAATTATTATTATTATTATTATTATTATTATTATTAAAAATAATAATACAAATAGTTTTATCCACTGACCTTCTGCATTCTTGTTCCTTCATGGTGTTTTATTTTTTATTTCTATATTTAAAGTTACTTTATTTTTACTTTTTTATTTATTTCCATCCATCCATCCGTCCGTCCGTTTGTTTATTTATTTATTTTCAGTTTATTTATTTATTTTCAGTTTATTTACTTTTTATTTAATTATTTCTATTTGTTTTTATTTATTTATCTATTTTTTATTTTATTTATTTAATTATTTAATTTGTATTTGTTATTGGTTGATTGATTGATGTGTATTATTTTGTTTATATTTCTTTCTTTCTTTCTTTCTTTATTTATTTCTTGTAATAATTTTTTTTTATTATTATTATTTCTATTAATTTAATTATTTTATAAAAACATTTTTCCATCTATAGTGATCATGTGTATTTGTGTTTTCTTTTTTTTTTGACCTCTCAAGGGCGTTTGCTGGGGCGACGGTCCATGACTGTTTTAACTGGCTGTCGGTGCTGGTTTTGCTGCCGGTGGAGGTGGCGTCTGGTCTGGTGAGTTACCTGGCCAGAGTCACTGTCAGCAGCTTTCAGCTGCACAGCGGACAAGAAGCACCTGAACTACTGAAGACGCTCACTGAACCCTTCACCAAACTCATCATACAGGTGTGTGTGCATGCAATATGTTTTTAGACTCACTCATGTTTCCTTGAGTGTTGCGATCCAGAATATTTTGTGTCAGTACTCGCCCACAGTGACACAGAGAGTGTGATATTGACTTTGGCGTCTCACTCTTCTAGCTGGATAAATCAGTAATAACGGGCATTGCTCTGGGCGACGAGTCCATGAGGAATCACAGCCTCGTGAAAGTCTGGTGCAAGTCCAGCAGCTTTGTGGTAACTTTCTCCTGACACAAACATTTTTCATGCTCCAAATCTGCACATCTCATGAATTTACCCGAACTTTTACCTATAAATTCCCTCATTAACCTGAAGTTTTTTTTCTCTCTATAAAAGATGATGCAATTTAGTTTTATTTTAGCTTGCATAAATTAATGAATATATGAATGAATGATTGAATGAATGAACAAACAAACAAACAAATACTATAATAATATAAACAGAAGTACAAAATCAAAGTGACAAAATGTTTTAATAATAAATATAAATATAATAATAGTAATATAAGTTATACATAAAGTACAGAATGAAAAAGATGAGAAATGTTTCAATAATAAACATAAATATAAAAAATACATAACATAATAAATTATAAATGGAAAAAAACATTGAAAGAGACAAAACAAATGTTTTACTAATAAATAATAAAAAATACAAATAAAACAAAATAAAAACTGTAATAATAGTATGAATTATTAATAAAATACTAAATGAAACAGACAGAAGACATGTTTTAATAAATAACTAAATAAATTCTATAATAATATTGCAAATTATAAGTTAAAATACAAAATGAAAAGAGAAATGTTTTGCATCAAAATGAAGCCTATGACCTTTAACATTTGTTTAATTTTCATGACCTTTGAACACCTTCTCATAAAAAAAGTTCATTTTGTATTCAAATTCTCATTACTGTAATGCACCAAAATGGTTTACTTATCTTATCTTATCTTATCTTATCTTATCTTATTTCATTATTTTATTTTCTGTATTCTCATTATTAGAATACAGCAGTCATTTTGTGTTTAATAAATCAGCATGAAATACAAATAACATGATGTTTAAATGCTTCACAATTCATAATTTTTCACAAATAACAATGGGAATTTGGGTGGATAATTTGTTGAACTAACTGTAATGAAATGTCAGGATGAAGAAAAATACGTTTTATTTCCTTTTTTAATAAAAAGTAATTTCATTTTTTTCCCTTCTGGTTTTGGGGTGAAATGAGACTAGGACATGTTTCTGACAGACAGGTTTTGTGAGCTTCACCCTCGTGCATTTTGCACTAGACTAAATTTCGTGGTCAGTACAACGCTTCATGATGAGTAAAGTGAGGTTTTCCTGGTCAAGTTGTGTTTGGATTGGATCTTTAGGTGCTTACAGACTATTGAGAAAACACATCTCCTCTCCAGATGATCTGCTGTCAGTCGTTCCGCCGCTTGTCATCCGCTCCACATTATCTTGTCAAAGTTCACAATACTGTCTGTCACCTTCTCATGTTTTTCCACTCCAACCGACCATATTTCACAAGAAAATACTTCGTCTTTTCTGTTCTGCAGTATAGTTTTCAGGGAAATATTCCTCTTTCTCCCTCTCCAGTCCTCAGTGAATGTGACAGCAGCTGCCGCCCAGAACTGCTCCACTGAACTGCATTGTGGGAAGGATAGTGATCTCACTTGGATCACACAGAATATCAGCTCGCAGATCAACACAGAGAAATGTGAGTGTCATTTAAAATCGAAACGTGTCATTTATCAAGGATTAGTGTGTGTGTGGTTGATTTATGAGGACACAAATGTGTCTAATGACATTGTTATTACAAACATAAACATGGTTAATGAGGTTTACACTTCCTGTGTTCTCATAAACCAAAAAGCTTAAAAACATACTAAACTGTTTTTTTTTTTGTGTGAACATTTTTGAAAAAAGGCCAGTAGTTTTATGTGAGGTGTAGGTTTAAGAGGTTAGAGTAAGATGATAGAAAAATATACAGTTTGTTCAGTATAAAAATCGTTAAATCACAAATACAAGTGTGTATGTGTGTGTGAGAGAGAGAGAGAGAAAATTGAAAAAATAAATTTTAATATGTATTTAATGTATTAATTTTATTTGTGTGTGTATACTGTATGTCAGCCCTGTGTTTCTGTGTCTTGTGTTTTCCTCCCTCACGTGCTCCATGTTTATTTTTATGGCCATGTTTGGTCTCCTTCCTGTTCCTGTCCTGATTATGTAATTTGGTTCCAGGTGTTCCCCGTTTAGTTATATTGATCCCAGGTGTGTCCCATTAGTTCCCTTATTACTTAAGCCCTGTGTTGTTTCCTGTCTAGCGTCCGGTATTGCACGTCTAACCCTCCTTCTACTTGTGTGTGAATCTTGATTTGGATGAATAAAGAGGTTCTTTGAGAAATTCTTACATGCTCCTCGTCTCCTCGTTTCAACACAGTAACAGCACCGTGACAGTATATGTATTTAGTAGCGATTTATTTTTATTTAAAATCTATTTTATTCTTTTCAATTTATTTTAATTTCTTTCTTTCTTTCTTTCTTTCTCTCTCTCGCTCTCCTTCCTTCCTTCCTTATGTTTATTTGTATTTATGTATTTCTCTTTGTTTATCATTTCTATCTATTCTTTTTCTGTGTTTATTATATATATTTTTTGTAGTTTGTATATTTATACACAGCAAAAAATCATATATTCAGTCATTTATCATGAACAACCTGACCTTCTGGTTACTGTTAACTTTGCTTTTGCATGTCCTCATCCCCCTTAATTTGAATGCATCTGTGTCCATTAATGCTTATATTTTGTCTTCATTTTTCCCTCTTGTTCCTCCGTCTGGTTTCCACAGGCCGGCATCTGTTTGTGGACTCGGGTTTGTCAGACCTGGCGGTGGGGCTCATTCTGTTAGCCAGCTCTCTGATGGTGCTGTGCACCTGCCTGCTGCTCATCGTCAAAGTGCTGAACTCCCTCCTCAAAGGTCAAGTTGCAAAGGTCATCGAAGGGGTCATCAACACAGGTGAGCAGCCATGGGCCTGGAGGAGGGAGAGCCAGAGAATGACAAGTCTTTTATGTTTGGTTTTGCCCCGCTGTACCTAGTAACCAAGGTACACTACCAATCAAAAGTTTTTGAACAGTACGAATTTCAAGGTTTTTTTTAAAGAAGGCTCTTCTGCTCACCAAGCCTGCGTTTATTTCATCCAAAGTACAACAAAAACAGTAAACTCTTGAAATATTTTTACTGTTTAAAATAACTGTTTTTTTATTTGAATATATTTTAAAATGTTATTGATTCCTGTGATTTCAAAGCTGAATTTTCAGCATCATTACTCCAGTCTTCAGTGTCACATGATCCTTCAGAAATCATTATAATGTGCAGATTTGCTGCTCAAAAAACAGCTGAGCACATTTTTTTCAGGTTTCTTTGATGAATAGAAAGTTCAGAAGAACAGCATTTATCTGAAATAGAAATCATTTGTAACATTTTGTTACAAATGTCTTTATCATCACTAAATAAATAAATAAAAATAATACTGACTCCAAGCTTTTGAATGGTGTAGTGTACAATGTTACAAAAGCTTTTTATTTCAGATAAATGCTGATATTTGGATCTTTCTATTCACCAAGCTGGAAAAAAATTTACTCGACTGTTTTAAATATTGATGATGATGATAATGATAATAATATTAATACAAATAATAAATGTTTCTCAAATCAGCATATTAGAAAGATTTCTAAAGGATCATGTGACACTGAAGACTGGAGTAATGATGCTGAAAATTCAGCTTTGCATCACAGAAAGAAATTACATTTTAAAATATATTCAAATAGAAAGCAGTTATTTTAAATAGTAAAAATATTTCACAATATTACTGCTTTGCTGTATTTTGGATCAAATAAATCCAGGCTTGGTGAGCAGAAGAGAATTCTTTAAAAACACATTACAAATCTGTTCAAAAACTTTTCGCTGGTAGTGTACATATCAAACTTTCATTTTTGTGTACCGTCACACCCCTATTCATTTGTAACTTTTGCCATTTTTTGTTTTGTATAGGCACACAGCCCTATGCTCTTATACTGTACATCAACAGCTGTCTCTTTTGTGTCTATTTTTAACTCCATATAGATTTCCCGTACCCTCTCGGCTGGCTGTCAGGATATCTGGCCATGTTGATGGGAGCAGGGATGACCTTTATCATTCAGAGCAGCTCTGTTTTCACCTCGGCTTTGACTCCACTCATAGGTACATCTCTAATGAATAACTTCTTCAACAGATCCTTGGTTTGGAAGTGACACTGCCGACAAAAGCTCATTGTTGACATCGCATGAATGAGACGACCAGCAGGCAGCAGCACAAGATTGCTCTGAAACACATTCATAATGCATCCACCCGAGTCCAAAAAGGCTTTTTGTGTGTTCATACTGTATGCCAGGAATGTAAAAAATGAGAGTGAAACAGTCAAGCAAACAAAAACCAGCAGAATGTATTGCATTTTTTTGCTAAAACTATAGATCACTGAAATTAAGTTTTAGGTGGCTGTGAAAATCTGTCTAGGGTATTGTGTTTTCATGGTTCGATGTGCAAACACTTAAAAAGAAGCTATAAAACTTTTGCAATAAGTCCCAGGTTCAAAAGTTATTATTTTTTTACATGATGCATTACATTTTACATGCTAATAAAACCATGTGACAATTCAGCTGTTTTGTTTCGCTGTAAATTAATGAACAGATATAATCGGCAGTTCTGATTAAACTTTAATTTTTGATGTACACCCTGGTGTTTTCTTCAAATGTAGAGCAAATGTGAGTGTGAACTAGTCGCTAATAGTGCTTTTGGCTCAAATTAGATATTAACTGCCCCTCTGTGAAATCAGGCAAAATGATGGTGCTTTCTCGTTCAATTATTTCATCATTAATTTACACCCATTACCTGGAAATGATTCATCAGCTGCCGCATGATTATGATAATTATTAACTTGTCAGCCAATGGGGATCCCTCTGTGTCTTTGAGATTACAGTTACTATGGAGATCATCTTTTATTAAAGCCCCTGGAAAGTTGAAGTGTCACTGGACGTATTATTAATAGTGGAAAGGGGGTTAAAAGATCATCAGCACTGACAAAGGGACAGAAACCATGTGACCTCACAGCTCGTTCCAGGAGAACATTTACATGTCCCTGAAGCTTTTTGACATTTTCCTGCTGCGTAGAAATGTTATAATTGTGTGTGTGTGTGTATATATATAGTATTTAAGATACTGTATACTTTTATTCAGCAACAAAAGTGACAGTAAAGACATTTATAATGTTAAAGACATTTCTATTTTAAATAAATTCTGTTTTTTTTAACTTTCTATTTGTCAAATGATTCTGAAAAAAAGTATAATGGTTTCCACAAAAATATGAAGGCGCACAACTGTTTTCAACCTTGATAATCATAAGACGTCTCTTGAGTAGCAAATGAGCATATTTGCATCACAGGAATAAATTACACTTTAAAATATATTCACATAGAAAACTGTTCTTTTAAATTGTAAAAATATATCACATTATTGCTGTTTTTACTGTATTTTTGAAAAACTAAAAACAGCCTTAGTAAGCATAAAACACAAATTTCGAAAACATTAGAAAATATTATGTTGTCACAAGGGCTGCATCTCATTAACTATGGAGTCCAGTTTCACAAACAGCTGATACCCTATCATCCGTTTTGTAAAGTTGGTTTCAAATCTCTAGATCTCAAACCAAAAGACATGCTTCATATCATTGCTTGGACAAAACACGTTTTGATTCCTGTATGTCTGTCTCTGACTCCTGCAGGCATTGGCGTGATCAGTCTCAATAGAGCGTATCCTTTGACCTTGGGTTCCAACATTGGCACTACCACCACGGCCATCCTTGCTGCTCTCGCCAGCCCCAGAGAGAAGCTTCCAGCTGCATGCCAGGTACGACAATGACACACAACCATTACTGAGCACTCAGTGGAAATTTCAGTTTTCTAAAATGATTGCACCTTATCAAATATTTAGAGCAAAACTGCTTGCTTTTCCAACTGGATGATGAAGAAAATGTATCTTCTGGACACGTGGCATTTTCTTCATTAATGCATTTGTTTACTCATTTTTTAGTGGTTCTTGCTTAGTCATACTGAAGATTTGGGGTTTGTTTAGATCCCTGAACACAAGCATTGAACTCAGAGCTTAACACGTTCTGCATCATATGTTTATGAATCATGTCATGAATAACTAAAACTGTTTAGCATGTTGAAGAGGTGTACTGTTACTTCTCAAGAAAAAGTCTTATAGATTTACATCGGGTATGTTTACATGCACTAGTTATCCTCAATCAGAATGAATCTAATCCAATTTCAGATTCTGAAAGATGTTTATATGAACCCTAAATGCAGTGTGATTCACATGTGCACTACATGTATTACAATTGTTTAGTATAATTGTCATTTTTGTCTTGACGCCTAAAAAGAAAGCTAACATCTATGTCAGAAGAGTTTTTTTTTTAAACAAATATTTAATAAATATTCAGTCTCATCCACTGACCACTTTGTAGGATATGAGGCATTAATAAACATATGGACATTTGTAAACCAATTCAGTTTGGTTAAAAAGCAGTTAAAAAGCTATTTTCTTATTTGGTATTTTTGTCTCGTTTTCCAGTACAAACATCTAAACATCCTTAAATCAAGATACTTTAACTTGAAAAGGAAAATGACATAAGATATTAACTATTGTTTTCTGAAAAATGTATGATTCAAATAAGAAAAAATATCTGCCAATAGGGGGAAAAAAACTAGCTTTCCTTTTGAATAGTTTTTTTGTTTTCTCCATTGGCTGATTTTTTTGTTGTTGTTTTAAGCTTAAACTCACTCAATTTTAATAAATTTTTTCAGAAAACAAGACTTAATGTCTTGCATAATTTGGCTTCTTAAATAAATGTCTCTTGATCTAATAATGTTTAGATGTTTGTACTGGAAAAAGACAAAAATACTAAGAAAAGGAGTTGCAGTGTACAGAAGACAATAGTTTTATCATCCTGCTGAAATTAGTTCAAGCTTTGTTCTTATCCAATCACTGTGGTCAAATCGATAATGCTATATATTAATATTTAAGCATGTTACAAAAATTTCAAGTACTGAATATTTAAAAACAGACCAAGCCATATCTAACAGCCCCCACTCACATAAGTGAAAAATCTAGTTTGCTTTATTCTTCTACTCTCATATTCCCTCTAGATTGCCTTGTGCCATTTTTACTTCAATATTTTTGGGATTTTACTGTGGTATCCGGTCCCGCTCACTCGTCTGCCCATCCGTATGGCATCTGCGCTGGGCGAATGCACTGCCAAGTACCGCTGGTTTGCTGTGCTTTACCTTCTGGTGTGTTTTCTACTGCTGCCTTGCCTCGTGTTTGGCATCTCTCTGGCTGGATGGCAGGCCATGGTCGGCGTGGGTGCGCCGTTCGCCGCGCTCACCATCTTCATCCTCCTGGTCAACCTGATGCAGTCCCACAGTCCCACGCACCTGCCGAAGACACTGCGCAGCTGGGACTTTCTCCCGCAGTGGATGCACTCTCTCAAACCGCTCGACAAGCTCATTACCAAAACAACGGCGCTGTGCTGCAGCCCGGCTCGACTTAATGACCCAGATGTGGTTGTCGTGACTCCAGACACAACAAACATCAAGCCAGAGTCAAAGAAACAAACCGAACAGTGGTATGACAACCCTGCCCTGTCCCTACCTGAGGAGATTTCCTCAGAGCCAAGAGTGTTTAGACTTAGAGGACTAGAAAGATGCAACAGCACGCCATTGTAGATTTGTAGTCTTTCCAAAATAAACCATCATGGTCTAAATGGCCAGTCTCAGATTTATTCTCTATTCCAAAACCTAGTGAGCTGCTTATGTAGACAGCATTTTAAGGCAGCATATGCATGAATGCACCAACTAAGATACTGTTTTGGCCAAATTCTAAGACAGCATCCGCATTCACGTAGAAGGCAATCTCATAATGCACTGCAACAAGCTCAATAAAACAAATCTATCCAAGATGGCAGCCGAATGTAATTAAAAATGTTTTATATGCTAATTTAAATGCTGCATTTATTTGATCAAAATACGGTAAAAACCATAATATTGTGAAATATTATTACAATTTAAAATATCTGTTTTCTGTTTCAAAATATAATTTATTCCTGTGATGCAAAGCTGAATTTTCAGCATTATTACTCCAGTCTTCAGTGTCACATGATCCTTTAGAAATCATTCTGCTGATTTGCTGCTCAAGAAACATTTCTTTCTTCTTCTTTAAAGTGGTTCACTGGGTTTTGGAACAGATGCTTAGTTTTACATCTGGTGCTTATTCAAATTCTAAATGCACTTTTTGAACAAATCAGTCTAATTGCATTCACCATAATATTTTCACAATAGGTTCAGAGAATTATATCTCGAGGCCATTGTGCCTCTAAGGAATCTGGGTGAACATTTTGTTGTTTTGTCCTGCAGTCATGCATGAATGTTTATTATCTGCAGCGCTATGTAAATCTCGCTGAATAAGCGGTTTGAAAGTCTGCATTGACAGACGGGATCTGAATGGCACAAACATAACTCAGGGCCATCCCATCATGCCTTGTGATATTAAATATACAGATAATAAAATGCAAATAGTTTGCTTTTTAATTTCCTTGCATAATGTCAATGAGAGAATGGACCACATGGAGAATAATTGGAAAATAGTTTGTTTTAATTAAGTATTAAACCTTCTCCAGTGTTTTGCATTAAAGTTCATTATCATTTAAAGCATATATTTGCTCTACTTTCAGAATGTAAAAATGGCAAGAAAAGTGTTTTGATTTACAGAGTAGTATCCAACAAGAAACCCTAAAGATTCATCAAGTATTTCTTCATACAGTCAAAAACACATCATTATAGATAAATGATCAGGAACAGACCTGATAAAGATATACAAGCGTGCATGTTATTTTGTGGTGCAAATGTTCTTCTACCACAGCAGGGTACCGTTTTACATATTTGATGTTGTATAGTGCATTCTGTTTCTCATGCTATTTTTAAAGGTAGTATGCAGTATATGTACATTGTGCAGTATTCAGTAAGCTCCATTCTGAAAACCAGATAGTGACGCAAATTCCCAGGTAGCGCCTCATGCTAGGGTCGGTGTGACAGGCTGAACGCTAATTATCTGGAGACTGTGGAGATGACATTTCAGATGTTTTTATAGGCACATTGACTCACAGAAATGAACACAAACACACAAGTTGACTGCCATTGAGATGAATGGGAATGCTAATGGATAGCGCTCTCTGGGTGTCATGGACTTCCTTTGCTGATACTGCAGTTAATAGTTGGGTGTGTAAAAATCTCATTTAAATAGTTGCACGGCAGTGCCAGAAGGTGTGGAACATGCAGACCACATTAAGGAAATTTGATGGCAGAGGGCAAGTTTTTTTTTATTTAAATGATGGGCTTTGCCTTAATATACAACTTAAAACTAATTGTATGGTCTTTTATGCTTTTCTGGTGCTTGATAACCATTACCTTCATTTCACTTTCAGATGTAAAAGAGCAGTCAGTTAAATAACTTTATTAGAAAATAATACTGCATGTAGTTTGCACAACATGAAGCTTGGTTTACCTGTATTCATGAAAATGTACTCACCCTCAGGCCATTCAAGATGTAGATGAGTTTGTTTCTTCATCAGAAAAGATTTGAAGAAATTTAGCGTTACATCACTTGCTCACCAATGGATCCTCTGCAGTGAATGGGTGCCATCGGAACGAGAGTCCAAACAGCTGATGAAAACATCACAATAATCTAAAAGTAATCCACACGACCACAGTCCATCAGTTAATGTCTTGTAAAAGCTCTGTGTTTGTAAAAAAAACAAACAAATCAATCAAGACATTTTAACTTTAAACTGTCACTTCCATCTAAAATATAAGTCCATAGTCCATAATATTGTGTCCTCTAATGAAAAAGTCCATCCAAATGTCCTCTCACATCAAAATCCACCCACATATTTGTTTAGAACTGTTTTTGCTTGTACACAGAGCTTAAATCTGTGCATATTTCTCTCCTGATTCGGACAAGATGACTTTTTCACTGGATAAAGCAACATTGTATAGGTACTCATAATTAAGTAACAGTTTAAAGTAAAAACACCTTAATGATGGATTTGTTTCTTATTGAGATGTTTTTATCAACTGGACTCTCATTCTGATGGCACCAATTCACTACAAAGGATCCATTGGTGAGCAAGTGATGTAATGCTGTAAATGCTGCTTGGATGGACTGGGGGTGAGTACATTTTCAGCTAATTTTCATTTTTGGGTGAATTATTCCTTTAAATATCCATGAGTCTGTTCTTAGGACGCAAATCCAACTCAAACATTTTCGATGTAAAATTATTGTTGAATCCACATCCAGGCATAATCTGTGATCATAAATGGGGTCTGAACAAAGGGGCTTTTATGTCTTAGGTCAGGGAGTCAAAGAGCTTATTTAAACCAAATGTTAGAGGGTTTTTCTTGGGAACAACACATAGAGGCTGTGTTGAGGCTGTATTATGTGTTCATAGAAGTGAATGGAAGATTAAGCAGTATATGTGAAGGACGTAACAGCATTTTAATTAACTGTCTTGTTTTTCTATTACGGCTTCTGAGCTTTTATCATCAGAGCTGTTGCAGCGAGCAGAAACACTCTCAGGAATTTATCTCCGATCTTTCCATGAAAAGACTGCGAATCGCAAAGTCAGACACCAAGAGATGCTCGAGACTCTTACAGCTTGTTCAAGGACTTATCGCTGTTTGAGATTCACTTGGAAAGATAATAATCTAATAAGCAAAAGTCTGTGACAAATTTAACTAGAAATGTAAAAAATCCCACAAATTCATCCTCTCTGAAAAGACTTCTATAATTTAGTACATTCTCACCTTGATTACGTCCATTGCATTTGGCAGAAGTCTATCTTGAGCTTTCATTCGCATACCTAGAAGTCACATTACTCACATTATAAGACCTGGGCAAGCAGACAGTTAATTAAAATGCTGTTACGTCCTTCACATATACTGCTTAATCTTCCATTCACTTCTATGAACACATAATACAGCCTCAACACAGCCTCTATGTGTTGTTCCCAAGAAAAACCCTCTAACATTTGGTTTAAATAAGCTCTTTGACTCCCTGACCTAAGACATAAAAGCCCCTTTGTTCAGACCCCATTTATGATCACAGATTATGCCTGGATGTGGATTCAACAATTTTACATCGAAAATGTTTGAGTTGGATTTGCGTCCTAAGAACAGACTCATGGATATTTAAAGGAATAATTCACCCAAAAATGAAAATTAGCTGAAAATGTACTCACCCCCAGTCCATCCAAGATGTAGATAAGTTTGTTTCTACAGCATTACATCACTTGCTCACCAATGGATCCTCTGCAGTGAATGGGTGCCATCGGAACGAGAGTCCAAACAGCTGATGAAAACATCACAATAATCTAAAAGTAATCCACACGACCACAGTCCATCAGTTAATGTCTTGTAAAAGCTCTGTGTTTGTAAAAAAAACAAACAAATCAATCAAGACATTTTAACTTTAAACTGTCACTTCCATCTAAAATATAAGTCCATAGTCCATAATATTGTGTCCTCTAATGAAAAAGTCCATCCAAATGTCCTCTCACATCAAAATCCACCCACATATTTGTTTAGAACTGTTTTTGCTTGTACACAGAGCTTAATCTGTGCATATTTCTCTCCTGATTCGGACAAGATGACTTTTTCACTGGATAAAGCAACATTGTATAGGTACTCATAATTAAGCAACGGTTTAAAGTAAAAACACCTTAATGATGGATTTGTTTCTTATTGAGATGTTTTTATCAACTGGACTCTCATTCTGATGGCACCAATTCACTACAAAGGATCCATTGGTGAGCAAGTGATGTAATGCTGTAGAAACAAACTTATCTACATCTTGGATGGACTGGGGGTGAGTACATTTTCAGCTAATTTTCATTTTTGGGTGAATTATTCCTTTAAATATCCATGAGTCTCCTGGGCTAAGGAGAAGAAGAACTGGTCTGTTGCCCAGTGGTCCAAAGTCCTCTTTTCAGATGAGAGCAAGTTTTGTATTTCATTTGTAAACCAAGGCCCTAGAGTCTGGAGGAACGGTGGAGAAGCTCATAGCCCTGCTGCTGTTGGCCAATTGTGTTTTTTGAAAACCAACGTCACTGCACCCGTTTACCAAGAAATTTTGGAGCACTTCATGCTTCCTTCTGCTGACCAGCTTTTTGAAGATGCTGATTTCATTTTCCAGCAGGATTGGGCACCTGCCCACACTGCCAAAAGCACCAAAAGTTGGTTAAATGACCATGGTATTGGTGTGCTTGACTGGCCAGCAAACTCACCAGAACTGACCCCAATAGAGTATCTATGGGGTATTGTCAAGAGGAAAATGAGAAACAAGAGACCAAAAAATGCAGATGAGCTGAAGGCCACTGTCAAAGAAACCTGGGCTTCCATACCACCTCAGCAGTGCCACAAACTGATCACCTCCATGCCACGCCGAATTGAGGCAGTAATTAAAGCAAAAGGAGCCCCTACCATGTATTGAGTACATGTACAGTAAATGAACAGACTTTCCAGAAGGCCAACAATTCACTAAAAAAATTTTTTATTGGTCTTTTGAAGTATTCTAATTTGATGAGATAGTGAATTGGTGTGTTTTTGTTAAATGTGAGCCAAAATCATCACAATTAAAAGAACCAAAGACTTAAACTACTTCAGTCTGTGTGCATTGGATTTATTTAATACACGAGTTTCACAATTTGAGTTGAATTACTGAAATAAATGAACTTTTCCACGACATTTTAATTTATTGAGATGC